TCTTGACATCCTCAAGCCCCAACTCCGGCACGGTATGACCGAGCCCTTTTGGATACTGCTCAGTCACAAATATGGGGATATTGAGCATTTTAGCACCATCTACCAAACGCTTCGATGTTGTGATAATCTCAGGAAAGTATTGAATGCTCCTGCTGCAAAACTGAAGCTGCTCGGAATATATAAAAATTACTATAAACGAACTCACCTGAACTTCTCTTGCAGATCGCAAACGAACAGAGCTGTATTTTTGGGCGTAAGTCGACTGAGCACCCGAGCTGCCATTCTGAAATCATTTTGAACTGTGATAAAAACTGATGATTATGTTCATGGCGATGAAATCGAAGCGAATCAAGAACAAATTGTTCACTAACTTTCGTTCATTAGTCGAACCAGGCATACTTCCAAGCCCGCTATGCTCTTCCTCCGCCATTGTAGCGGGCAGGTAGCTTCAGAATAGGTAGCGGCTGGTTAACAGGTGAGTAGAACACTATTCTTTGTCATTGCTGATAAAGGTAATGAGCCGCAACTCCGTTATCAATAAATCTGCATTTCGTGCCCGCTACAATTGTGGGAAAGGGCGATAACAGGAAAGCAATGATAAGAAATGATGATAGTCTACAGATCACGGACAGCAAAGAAGGAAAATTTCAATCATTAAATGTCTCTTCACAACACTCTTTTCCGTTACTCCGAAGGTTCTAAGTCTCAAAACGAGATATCTCCAGATATCTAATTATGAGATGTCATCACATTTCAGTAACCTGGAGTCCTCTACTGCAATTCCAACGACGCTTCAGATCATTTCATACAGAGAGGGATTAACGAAAATCATGTAAAAATCTAAGTCATGGAACAAAGAGGTTCGATGCATGGATTTATACGAATGGTTCAATAAATTTCATATGGAAGTCTTTGCGGAAGATTTCTAGAGCGCGCTTGCGATTTCCATGCTACGGAAAGCTGTCGAAGATTGTTATATAACAGTGTGGCTTAGAATCAGGCTGTTAAAAAAAACTAGCGAGGTCTTGAAACAAAATGTAACCGATAACTATTTACAGTATCGAGACTGTGATGGATATACGGTCGAGCGTGATTGTGAGGGTCGGTGTGTTCGCGGTCGATGCTTACGCATTACGCCAATAGATGTTCCTCATTTGGTGCACCGTACACGAACCGCTTGTTCCAGTTGGAGCCGATCCACTTTGCTATTGGTCAAATTAGTGAACTGATGAATAACGAAGCGCATGTACTACACTTAAAAGCAGTGGATCGGCAAAATTCAGCAACAAAAGATTTTGACG